TCCCGAAGGCGATTTTGAGTTCGAAGTTGCTTCTCGGACGCAACATCCCCCAAGGATGCCCCAAGGATCTCGATGCCCAGAGCGAAGTTGGGGTCGTTTTTATGTGCAAACTGCGATTTCCCAGGATGTCCGATGAACTTCATCGCCGCTGTCTCCGCCTCCCCAATGCTGAACCATCGTTGTAAGATGATGCGCACTTGAAGTGAACATGGTTCGATCGTCCATGTAGATCAATTGCTTAGTGCAAAAGCCTTCGTGCAAACATTTATCCCGAACCGACAAAGCAGCAGAGGCCAACAGTATTGCCAGTGCCAATGGTGAGGCTGGATCTCCCTGAGGTACGCCAACCACGGTCGTAATGGGCTGAAAGGAAGTGTGACCTTCATATTGAAGCCACCGTTTCTGATCTCCCCAATGTGCGCACATCAGCCGGTTCCAACCCAACATGGAGCCCGGCAGAAGCCGAGCCATCACTTTCTCACACACCGCGACCGAGACAGTGTCGAAGGCATGTGAAAGATCAAGTGTGGCCAAATAGGCCCCTTGATTGAGCTGACTCTCAGCAATCGCCGCAATGGTCTCTGGTCCTGCGGAGCTCGGCCCTCCAGCGATCCAGTCAGGAATGTGTGATTTGCGCCATTCCGAAACCGCACTGGACTTGACCCAAGTAGTCGAGTACACTCTCCACCAGACGCTACAAATCGAGATAGGTCTTAAGCCCTCCGGCTTGATTTGCCCGCGATCATTGATTTTATTCGCCTTTGGGAGCATAACCATTCTCGCATGTTTAAGGATGCTGGGCTCATATCCAACATTCATGGCCTCCCCCATGGTTTCCCAATCTTCGCCCAACGCAGCCTTTGGCAAGCACTTGATCTCAGAGTTTGTCCACCCATCCACTCCATGGGCCCCTTTGCACCTTTTGGCCACTTTAAGGAAGTCCTCGAGGCTTGGAGGCTCACCTGGTTCAAGGTTTTTGGCATGCTTCCGAAGAGTGGCAACTACTTTATCCACAACCGCGTCTCTTTCCTGCGAGGTCCATCGGGTTGTAGTCCAGAGATGCCTCCAGTAGTCCACAATGTTGTCTAGGGCGTACTGCTTGCATTCTGGCGTACTTTCCGGAGTATGTGACCCAATGACTTCAACCTCTGGCTGGGTCTGTTTTGCAATCCACTTCGCTCTATGTGAAACTGAGCTTCTCATGTTGTCTTTCCACGTTTTGATCCTAGTGGCAACTGATCGTTCTCATGCTTCTTAATGACATGGTGGAGCACCTTCGCCTCCTCCTTGAAAGCCTGAATGTTGGCCTCATCGTAGTTGGGGCGTTCGGAAGGCCTGAGTTTCTTCCACAGCACGTCCATGTCCTTCAATCGAAGTTGCATCTTGTCCACGACCTCCGAAGGGCGATGATTGCACGCACGAGCGTCACGATTCCCCGTCATGTTGATGTTATGCTTAGTAATGAGCTCCAAGACACGACCAAGACGCTTCCGCATTTCCGCACCCACATTGGCTCCACAGATCTAGAAGTAGGCACAGGTCGCAATTGATGATTAGGAATACTGATTTTCCACGGCATCCTCCGCGCAATGGCCTCAACCTTCTTGACCTCCGTGTCATCAACCCCCAAAGGAACATTCTGCAAGGCAATGCCGTAAGCCAAATGAATCAATTCACAGATCATGGCCATAGTCCTCGCCCACAAGTAGTCGATCCATTCCTGTGCCTTTTCGTGTAGAAGCTCGTTGTGCCATCCCATGTCTTCCAAGTGCTGACTTGTTTGTGGCCGCCCTTCAAGTTCTCCATGTTTCCAGAGCATGTCCAGCAAGTCACGCCACCCCGAGGAAGTGATCCAAGCAGGCTTAACCCAAGTAGGAGTACCAACGAATGACCCTCGAAGCTCCCTCGAAACTCTAACATTGGCCGTAATGACACAGATCTTGTTATCAGAAAGCTTTTCAAGAAACGTCTCCATCGATCCACATTGTAGCCCTCTAGAGGCCACAAACCAGTCGATGACCCGGCTACTTTCGAACCTCGTCCCGTCCACATGTGGCAGGGGAGGCACGATGTAGGCATTCACCGCATCTGCAAATGCCTCGGCACCCCGTCCTTCCGAAGTGATGTTGAAATCCCGTCAGACAATGAACTTCCCACGCCACTTATCTTGTAGAAGTAGGCTAAGCTCAGCAAAAGCCTCATCGACTGGTCCTCTCGGGACGACGTAAACCGAGACATAGAGCACGCCCCCAGCCTGAACCGCGATCCACTTTCACATTCTCATGCTGCTGAAGCTGCTGAAGCTGCAGGCGGTGTCGTGGAATTGAGTTGCTTCCGGCCCTTCACACGGCAGCTCTGCAGACGAAAGCTCGCCTCCCCGAGGCCAAAGCCACGGTCATAAGGGTAGATTCTTGACATAACGCACCTGCAATGGGTAGGGTTATTATTTAAGAAAGAAGATGCTGGTGATGATCATGATGTTGAGATGATGATGGTTCCGGGAACGTTCCCGAATTAGGGCCGGATTCCCCCCTCCCCTCCGCCTTACTCTTTCACGCTCGAAGCGAGTGTCTGAAGAGATGAGGCGAGTGGGTGAATCATATCCTTGGCTGGGGAGTTCAGTGCGGAGGTGTTTGTGACAGAGTTGTGCATGGCTTTCGGAGACTGGCGCTCGGGCACAACACCGGCATGCACAGGGAAGTTCGGGCATGCGGCCTCATCGATTTCGCCGGCAGCTTCGATCCAAAGACTAGTGGAGTTTTGCGTCCTACCTGATCCCCTGTAGCTTGCATAGCCACCTCTGCAGGCTTGAAGTGACGCGACTAGACATGCCCTGTGTTGTGAACGCATGTATGTATCCATGCGCACCCAATAATTCGCGCATATGTATTCTATGCACGTGTATGCCTCTGTGCATGCATCCATGCATGCATGTCTGTAGGTGCATACCTGTGTACGTAAAGACTTCAGCAAGTGCAAGTACCTGCATGTTCGTCCGGCTCATACGGTAGATGTTCGATCTTGTGTGTTTCCCAAGTAGCTGAGATGGCGCACGGCGCAGGCCTCATTGGAGCTGGTGCTTGGAGACATTCTGCAGGAGGAGCGCGCCGGTATTGGTTGCAATTTGGGGCAGATGTCAGCAATGTCAGCAATCTGACAACGAAAAGTGGCCAGTATCAAGGCAAGGCCTCGTCAGAGATGCGGCCGGCCCCTACAGTCGAAGCTTGTTGCAACTTCTTGTTGACAAGTAATCGGGGGGATCGAACGACCCACCACACCGCTCGTCGTGCCCAAGTATTAGCCTTCTGGATTTTCGAACGGCTGCTATGCAGAGGAGGCCCACATGAAGCTGTGGGGGTTCGTGTTCATACTTAATGGGTCGAGATGAATTTTTCTTGCAGAGGACTGGTCCGATGCCAGCATCGTTGTTGCCATGTCTCTTTGCTTCCCGGCAGAGATGATGAAGGCGCTGTGTTTCGTACTTTTCAGCCACCGGTAGGGACTCACGTTTTCTTGCATTGGGACCCGCACTTTCCCTGAGGCCCTCGAGGCCAAGTTCGCCTTGCTACGGCCTGGGAGCCGGGTTGTGCTGATGTGCCTGGGCACAGGAACCCTTGCTTCCTTTTCCGCTTTTGCTCCTAGAAGTCGTCGCCCCTTCAAAACTTCAGGAACTGCTTCCTGGAATCTGACCTCTCGGGTCTCGCACCGCTGTGTCTCGACAATTCCAGAGTGACTCGGATACGCTTCAAGTCTGGGGCTTTTTGACTCTATCTCCACAGGCTACTAACACAAGCTGCTGGCAACTAGAAGCTCACTTGCGCAAAGCCTCTATTATCCGTGAAAGGATCTGCGAATTTAGACTCAGAACACGGAAATCCTCAAGATTCTTAAGGTGCATTGCCCTCGACTTGAACCTTAAGCCCTCAAGCCTTGACCACAACTCAGGAGACTGCGCATGCTGTGCGCCTTGAGCTGCTCAGCGAATAGTTGCTCGCGGTTCATCTTCGATATCTATCTGGGTATTCCGGGCATCAAGAGATCACTGCCACGGCTCTAACAGCGCGGCAGCTGGGCCGGGCCAGCTTCTGTAAGCTTACGTGCCGAGAAGACCCGACAAGACCCATTGAAGAGCTTCGGAATGTTTCGGACTCTTTGCTGGTATGGCTCAACCCACCACGACTAGCACCCTCCGTGGCTTCTTGTAAGGGCGTGATTCTGAAGAGGAGGCCGGCCACGCTTGTTGGTATGGTGCATCCGAGGATGTCCTTTGGCGAGACTCCGCTGTACGTCTTCGAGCGAGTTGACCAGAAGAGGCAGATGAACCGTCGGGGCAAGAGTTATTGCTGGAGTCGTCTTAACGCCGACAAGACAAGGGTGTAGACTGTAGATGCTACGCGCTCCAGCACCTGGCTTCGCAGAGAACACTCCAGTGGTTGATGCCTTCAGCATGTCCGGTTCAGGAATGTCAGAGTCCAGAGCCCGAAAATCCCAAGAGGGGCTGCAGTTTTGGGGCAACGACATGGCCAGAATGCCTGCCTGTGTCACCCGGGCCAGGGAACTGGTGGACCTGACGGCCATGGATTGAGGTGAGGCCCGCAAGGCACGAAGGATTTCGCGGTTCTCACGGATGGCCCAAAGAAGGCCACTCAATAGGCCGCCGCCAAGGGGCCGGACCGCGTTTCCTCTGCTGTGGCAAAAGGACCACAGCAGCGATTGAACTGTAGCGTGCGGGGCGGGGGAACCCTAGGTTCTTAAGCCTATACCTCGTCAACTGCTGCTCGAAGGCACCTGGGACTCGCCTTAGAGCGTAGATCTGTGATAATTACTCCGGAATGCTGACGTGTGATCTTCGTCACGACAAGCAGACTTCCCAATCGGCGACTGTTCCTGCTCGTTCCCCATCTGCGACGCGGGCGCTTTATTGAGTGTGGTTTTCGGATGCATCTGTCTGCGAAGCCACGAGTCTCTGCACACTTCCGTCCAAGGTCTGACTCCTGCAGATGTCACGGCATGTTCCGGAGGCTCAAGCCCATGCACCAGACATTGGAATTCAGGGTCCAGAAGCAAATCCTTCGGTTGCGGCTTCAGCCTCTCAACTAATTTCGCGGTTGCATTTGGAAGTCTTGCGGTCTTGAGTAGTATTCTGCAAGGTACGGTTTTGGATTCTGCGGCCAACCTTTGCTCTGTGACCAGATTACGCATCAATCAACGTATAATGACAGGTGCCATAACTATACAAGAACATATACACATGAATGAAAGAATGGATGAATGAGTGAATGTATGTAGATGTCTATGTCTATGTCTATGTATGTGATATGTATATGTATGCGTATATGTATTCTAGGGGCTGCTCCCAGGTGCGGGCAGCGCGGGTAAAAGGTCGCCGTTGTGTTTTCCCTTTGCCCTCTCAGCCCTCGTCGGCAGCCCGCACCCGCCCTCCGCCGAACCCCGCTGATGCTCATGATGCGCGTCCCTTTGGGGCTTCCCAAACCAACTCAAAACCGAACAAAGCAGAGCCAAAACATCGCCTCCGGCCAAAAGACCGGTTGCGGGCGCCCGAAGGCTCATGATGCTCGCCGCCTGGCCTCCTGGGGTCGTCACGGCGGCCCCTAAACCCGCCATACCGTGGGGAATGGCTGCAAAACGCGTGCGCGTTCCGAGAAGCCTCCGGGCGAAAGCCCGCGCGGCTCGATGGAGAAACGAAGGTCCGATGAAGCAGGGTCGGCAGCGGGTCGGCGGCACAGGCGGTCGTGGCTTTTGCTTCGCAGAAATGCGGCCGACCCACACTCAGCCCCAGTTGGCCTACGACGCGGCGCCACTCAGCTAAGTAGAGCCGAGTGGAGCCGAGAGGAACTGCGAGTGGCGCCGAGTGGGGCCGAGTGGGGCTGTGAAAGGGTCGGGCACCCATTACGTTCCGTTAAATTATAGCCTAATTCTACGAAATACCATTAAATACCACTAAAACCAAGCTAGAATCCAACCAACTGCGAGTGGGGACGAGTGTGGGGCCGAGTGGGGCTGCGCAGGGGTCGCACCCATTGAGTTCCGTTAAGTTAGTTTTTTTCCACGAAATACCATTAAATACCACTAAAACATATTAAAACCAAGCTAAAATCCAGCCAACTGCGAGTGGGGCCGACTGGGGCCGAGTGGGGCTGCGCAGGGGTCGGGCACCCATACCACGAAAACCCAGCTAAAATCCAGCCAACTGCGAGTGGAGCCAAGTGGGGCCGAGTAACTGCGAGTGGGGCCGAATGGAACCGAGTGGAGCTGAGTGGTGCCGAGTGGGGCCGAGTGGGGCTGCGAAGGGGTCAGGCACCCATTGGGTTCCGTTAAATTAATCTAATTCCACGAAATACCACTAAATACAACTAAAACCAACAAACAAAACAACCAACTGGAAGTGGAACCGAGTGGGACCGAGTGGGGCTGAGTGGTGCCGCGTGGGGCCGAGTGCGGCCGAGTGGGGCTGAGTGGTGCCGAGTGGGGCCGAGTGGGGCTGCAAAGGGGTCAGGCACCCACCGGGTTCCGCGAAATTAGTTTAATTCCACGAAATACCACGAAATACCACTGAACCACTAAAACCAAGCTAAAATCCAGCCAACTGCGAGTGGGGCCGAGTGGTGGGGCTGAGCGGTGCCGAGTGGGGCGTCGGGCACCCATTGGGTTCCGTTAAATTAGTCTAATACCACTAAATACCACTACAACCAAGCTAAACTCCAGCCAACTGTGAGTGGAGCCAAGTGGAACCGAGTAACTGCGAGTAGGGCCGAGTGGCGGTATCCTGGCGGAGTGTGGCAAACGACCTGAAAACGCATCCGCACCATGAGCACGCATTCGTCAAAACAATGCCTATAATCGGCGCAGACGCATTAGCAGGCGCAGACGCATTCTGAAGACGCATTGGGAGGCGCAGACACATTTTGACGACGCATTGGGTGGCGCAGACGCATGTAAATAGCGAAGACGCATTGCGAGGACACATTGGAAAGGCGAAGACGCATTGCGAAGACACATTGGATAGCCGAAGACGCATTGGGGTAACGAAGACGGCTCCCGGAGACACATTGCAAGGGTATGCGGTCCAGGTAGGCGCAGACGCATTGCGAAACTGCTGTCACGACATAACGGCCACGAACAGAATGCCAGGGCAGCTTCCCATGCATGACTCGCATGACATTTGGCTGAGCATGGGTTTCGCAAGAGATCTGATGTTGAAACCAGGGGTTTTCCATCAGCCCAAGGCTCCATCCGAGATCCAGTTGTATAAGAATTCGGATTACGAGATGGTGTGCGCCCAACCGTCCATTGGTCGTTTGGCCAAGAGGACCAAAACAACCCACCCCCCAACCCCATCTCCATATGTGCTCCTTATTGAGGGGAGGAGCGCGTATGGAAATGGCTCAATGATCCCGATATTGCTGACTGAGTGGGGCCAGCAGGGGATGCCTTCTTCAGCATCCTTTGCGCACCACGTATCGCAAATCCAGCTGCTGGTGTTGCCATGGGTGGGTTCCGATCACTGACAGTGTACTCGTATGCGGCATAGGCGTTCCCCAAGCCAGTTGAGGCGTGATCGTCTAAGGAAACATCAGTGGTTAGGGAGGCGATCCGGCCAATACGATGCTGTCCATGTGATCGCACATGGTTGCTGGACAGATTGCGCAAGATACCGGCGGAACTGTCCGGATCTTTTCAGGCCTTTGTGAAGAAGTTCCATACCTTACCCACACAGGCCTAGGGCGGCAGCGAGACATTTTCCCGTTGCCTGTGTTACCGAGCACGCGGTGTGCAGAACTAAATTTACCCCAGTGGAAGGAAGGCTAACATCGTGCTGAATTGTGTGAATCTTGTGGTCCTAGCTCTGACTTTCTGCACGGCATTGGAGGTCAGACGGAACTGCCAGCAAAGATGACCATAATGCAAACTGATGTGGCGAACAGGGTGGTTGGTAGCTATATGGAATTTTACGACCGCTTGCAGCTTGCAGAAGGCCGAGAACGGACTCTGGGAGCATTGGTTGCCGGATTGGATTTCAGCTGTCGGAAAGCCAGAACGACTGAAGCATAGCAACATCATAGCGGATGCTGTGGATGGACTGCGAGCTTCGGGTTTGTGTGATCCTGTGGCTAGCCTGCCGGATGAGATTCGGGATGTCATTATGGACAGCGCCTCAATGTTTCCCGGTTCCCCGAAAGGTCTGGACTCCTTCAGCGGTGTGTCAGACGGTTCCCGCCTTGAATACGTCAAGCTGCTGGTCAAGCAACTCCGTTGTGGGAAAATCGGTTTGGCCGACGCAGTCAACGGCGGAAGTCCTGTCTTAGCTGTGAGCAAACCAGGCACGGGCCGTCTGCGTGAAGTGTGGCATGGAAGCCGTGTGTCTCAAGCTGCTGCCGCGCCGCCGCGACCAAGACACCTGGCTTCGCCGACTGCACTTTTGCATTTGGAGGCTACGCCCAGCTCTCCAGTACGAATGAGCAAGCGTGATGCCAGATGCTGGTTTGACCAGCTGTCGCTCCCGAGGCATTTGCGCTTCTGGATGGGTCGCCCGCCTGTGACTATCAAGGAGATGGAAGACATCGGAGGCCTGAGCTGTTACGAAGCGGCGGCATGCCTGGAGGAGGACTGTGTGATAAACCCAGAGTGCATGTTCCCAGTTTCCAGAGTATGGCCGATGGGCTTCTCGTGGTCTTCTTTTGTGGCACAGGAAGCACTTTTGACTTGCTGCGCTGAAGCAGGACTAGGCCGAGAGCAGGTGCTTGTGTGCGATGCCCCCACTCAGTGCAACTTCTCACAGGCCTTTGCTGTTGCCACGGACGACGCCATGTTCTTCAGTACGGCCGGTCCTGCTGTCACCACCATCCTGGCGGACAAGTTTGACAAGGCATTGGAGGCACGTGGTGTCGTGAAGCACCCAGGCAAAGATGTGAACGACGAGCTCAATGGGATTTGCGTTGGCGTCAGCCTGGAGGACGGTCTCTACCTCGCAGTAACTGCGGCTCGATGCATGGCCCTCACGATCCTCATCTTGGTCTTGGTCAGTGCAGTTTCAGCTTCGCCCAAGCACGTGCACGCAGTGCTGGGAATGCTTCAATGGTACGATTCGCTGAGGTGTCCCAACATTTCAGTCTACCGCGATGTGTATGCTTTCCTGCAAGATCCCGATGATATCACACAGCGTCGTGTGCCTGGGCCGGTGCTACAGGAGTTGTTCTTGGGCCTGGTTCTTGGCGTCTTCTGGAAAGCTGACTTGAGCCGACGATTCTTACCACTCGTTGCAGCAGTTGATGCAAGCTCGTTTGGCTTCGGAGCATCTGTTTCTCATATCCCTGCCTCCACGGCACGGGAACTGGTGCGAGTGGCTGAAAAACAAGGTAGCTATGTCATAGTGGACGGGGGCGCTGATGAAGTCCGGAATGCTCAGCATGGACACAGGTGCCACGTTCGCAGATCAGACTTCGTGCGCATTTTCAGTGTGAGGAGCCGGTCGTCCGCTCATATCAACATCTTGGAGGTTGAAGCCTTTTTGCTACTACTGCGGTGCTGCAGGGCGCGACACAGTTCTCGCGTTGTGGTGCTTGTGGACTCAGCTGTTTGGTTGGGAGCGCAAGGACGCTCGTCCACACCCTTGAACCGACTGCTAAAGTGCGCTGCAGCTCTCCAGTTGGCTGGCGACCTCTTGCTGCATCTGGTGTTGGTCCCTTCATCTGAGAACCCGAGTGGCGTGCCATTGAGAGGAGTGCGTGTTTGCAAGGTGCCTGTGCCGAAGCGGGCCAGAACACAGTGCAAACTTTTGGACAGACTGAAGACGTACAGGCGTGCTGCGAAGCTTTTGAGGGCCAAAGCTGGGTTACGCAACCGGTGTCGTCTTCTGCTGCCGAAAGCTAGGTCTGGCATCTCAGCGAATTTGTTCTGGTGTGGGCTTAGCCACCGTTCGTGAGTTCTCATGAGCTGGATGTGCAAGCTGGGTCCTGAAGGCCGGGTTTTCTGCTCAGTGACTGTATGGGTTGCAACATCC